TAACCATTTGAAGGCAACTGGACGTCTTTTTGGTTTCTTCAGTACTTAAAATCCTAGATAAAGATAAGATCTTTCATGTACCGTTTGTAAACTAGGTCTGGGCATATAGGAAATCTTGTGCAGTACTTATAGTCACATTCAGATAAATGCATATTTATACAACTATTAAACAATGTGCACACTTAGATAAATTATGTTTTTGTTTTTCTTAAACAGATAAAGATGTAACCCTCGTGCCCTTGGAGGTGGTTCTGAGATTCACACGAGTCAGGGGTGTGGCTACTTTCTGAAACACAGCCAGTCTTCAACATCCTTTGAGCTATTAAAGTTCCGTCGGTCACAATTGGCTCGCAAAGAATCTCGAGCCTGCGTTACGGGCAGCTGATAGCTGGTGTCGTGAGCCACCACCTCTGTTCAGTGATGATCTTTCACAGTGGACATGGATGGCCTCTTGGATTAGAAACTGAATATTTTCACGAATCAAAAAGAAATCCAGTTGCTTTTATTTCTAGCCTTCAGAATATGACCTGGATGATTAAGAATGTGCAGGTTATATATAGTGCAGAGTCTTCCTTTGAGTTGTCAGTTCCTGTTCCTCACACAGCGTCTTGTTTTGTATTTTATGACCTTTTCATTTTGCTTTGGATTTTACCTCAGTCTGCTGCCTCTGCATTGATTTCTCTGCCTGTAATCTTGGCCTCCGTTTGATTCTTCTTCTTCTTTAAATTTCAGTAAGTACAGCAGTTATGTTTATGTGAAAGCCTGACTACATTTCAGTCCAAATCGAGACTAAACCACACACAGTACACGTGGAAATGTTTCAAAATGCCAAACGAGAGGTTGTTGATTCTACAGTGTTTTATCTTTTTCTGCAACCAGCTGCAGCTTCATTTACTAAACTGAGATATTCTGACGTGAATGAAAGTGTGTGGGACGTGAGTGCAGGTGTAAGACTGTTAAAATCACATTTTAAATATGTAGAAACAAGGAGATACAAGAAGTGAGAACATCTGGTGGTATAAACCAGCAGCTAACATGATTAGCTAAAAGTGGTTTAGTACTAAAATACTGACAACATGCCTGATTTCTTTTATATATTGGGCGTTTTTTTCTGTGTCAGTGTTTAAAACATACTGAACTGAATTCAGAATCTTTGATGTATATTTCAGCATCTCCAATGTTCAGATTGCTCCTGGACGATAAATACAGTATGTGCATATTAAGTTATTCAAAATGTTTCGGGAAAAGTGCATAAGCAGCACTTTGTCTTTAAGGCTGTTTATGCTTTCAAGCATTCAAAATGTATTCAAAAATATATTTCCACAAGGTCTAAGTGGGGTATGAGCTGTCAGGCTGACCTCAAGGAAGAAGCGGGGGCTCTCAGGCATGGTGGTGAGGGCAGAGATGGCTGCCACGGAGGGGAAGGCACACACCAACACAAAGACACGCCAGCTATGGAACTGGTAGGCTGAGCCCATCTGGAAACTCCAGCCTACATGAGGAAAGGAAGCAAGAAGAGACGTGAGACAGAACTGCAGCATTTGTGATTTGCAATAAAAACCGTAGAGAAATGTAAAGACAAAATTAGCGTTTACATAGCTTAGAATGATTACTGGCCTACTGGTGCGTGAGGAAACAATCTTGAAGGTTAGAACGTTCATATTTAAATACTGTACATTTTTTTACCATAGTGTGGGATAATGGCCCAAGCCATGGCAGATGCGTAGATGCCACCAATCATCCAGAACATGCAGAGCCAGGACAGATGCTCTCCTCGCTTCTCTTGGG